AACTGAAAACTTTTCGGTAAGCTCATACGTCACGATTAGTGAAATCGATTGGTATTGAGCGTTAGAGTTTCAGGTCCTGGGCGGGTCATAAAATTCCTTCTAAGTTATAATAATGCCGTTAGTCGAACTTGCCAGGCTCGCGACGAACTTTTAACCGTGAATAATGGACGAGACGCTGTTTCCAACGCGATTATTTCCCCGAAGAGAAATGGTCCTCATGAACGCAACTATAGCACTCTCTACCCCCACTTTGGGGTAAAAAAAAAACATCCCTCTTTTGACACTCTCGATTAGAATTTTGTAAATTTTGTTTTTCTTTTTTCTAGGTACAATGTTTTTACAATCTCATTTCTTCTTTTTTTCTTTGCATTTGTCTATTTCTTCACTGTTTTTCTAAGGTTATCAAATTGAGACAAAAAACGAATCAAAATCAAAAAAAATTTTAACTTCAAATTTGTACTCTTGGGATAATATTTAATAGAATATTGAAGAAAAATTTCACCCTGAATTAGACTAATCTTGCGGGTACTTCGTATTTTTTCGACTGTAATAAAATTCAAAAGTATTCTCTCTGATATAATATCACACAAATAAAATAGTATAACAAGAATCGAGAAAATATCCTCTCTCATCATTAACTGTTTTTCTCAACATAAAGTTTATTTAAAAAAAAAAAATACCAAAGAACCGTAATTAGAGACGGATGAAATGATCAAAGCGTATTTTCTGTTACTTTCAAAGACGCGGGACAAATTAAAATACGAAATAAGGATGGGTTTTGAGATTCCGCGTGAGGATTATCTGCGCATTTAGAGGAGGAAAATACGAGGCAGTAGGGGGAGTTAGGGGAAGTTAAGAAGCTTTGCCTTCCGTCTTGAAGTGTATTTGAAGAAAATCACTATTCTCGTTTTAATGCGTTTAGTGCCAGTAATGTGCGCATTTCGAAGTCTCTCTCTCTCTCTTTCTTTTTCTCTCTATCGTTCTCTTTCTTTCTCGCTCTCTTTCCCTTACTTGCTAGGAAAGGCCTGAAGAACTCCAGTATCAACTGTTGATCGTAACTCTCGCTCCACGAATAAGGAAAACATTCAAGTTCATTGATCTCATTCACCATCACAACGAGAAGAAACAAGTTACAAATTACAATCTTTGAAAATTAATTAATTTCGAGAGAGAAAAAAAGAGAAATTTTGTTGTGGAGGAAAAAAAGTTTATGAAGGGAAAAAGGAAGGAAAAAAAGAAAAAAAAGGAGAAAAAATAGAAAAAAAGGAAAAAAAATAGAAAAAAGGGAAAAAAGAGAAAAAAGTAGAAGAAATAAAAAAAAAGAAAAAATAGAAAAAAAGTACATATAAAAAAAGATACATAAAAAGAAAAAAAAAAGGTTTATAAAAATAAAACGAGGGTAAAAAATAATTTCCTAGAGGAATAAAATTCGTAAAAAGAAAAAAAAAGAAGAAAGTCCCCCACCCCCCCAAGAAAAAAAGAAAAGCTCTCGTAAAATTTGATTGACTTGAAATGTTATCGTGTTATCAAAGTATTTACCCTTTCCTTATTTTTTTTCTCTCTTCTTTCTCCCCTTCAAACTAGATTTTATCGTTTTGAGACTTATCTCTGACAAGAAAGTTGTTCAAGAAAATAGAGTCTTAGAAGACGGGAGAAAATCGCCGGAACTTGAGTTCTGTAAAGCAAAGTGCTGATGACAATGGTAGACATAACTACTTGTAAGTTACCAAAGTCAGAATTCTCTCTCTGTCTCACACTCTCTCTTTCCACACTATACAGAACAGCTTGTTTCCTTTGGAGTTTGTGTGTCGGAGGGGGGGGGGGAGCGAAGAGTCTAGATAAAGAGAGAGACACTTGATATGAAAATCCAAAGTAAAGGAGAAGGACAAATAGAAACTGTGAAGAGGGACTCGAGGGGGGAGGGAAGAGGGTTGAAAGTACAAAGTTGTGGCAACATACTGTGGCTGGAAATTGTGGTATACAATTTCCTAAATGTGATTACCAGTGCCGGTTTATGTTTCGCTTTCTTCGTTTTCATACCACCTTGTCTTTCATACATAAATATATTATTATTTTACATATGATTTCACTTTTCTCACGGTGATGAATTCTTGAAGATAAATTGATGTACACTTGGCAAAATTCTTTGTAGATTTTCACTATACTATCTTTTCCAGTTGGAAAAGTTTTATAGAAATTCACTATGAATTATTCTATAGAATAATTCTATATATGAATTCCAGTGAATGTTCTCCAGAATTTCACTAGAATCATTCTATAGATTAATTCCATATGAATTCTAGTGGATATTCTACAGAATTTCACTAGAATGATTCTAAAGAATTTCTTCATGAATTCCACTAAATTTTAGTGGTTTTTTATTAGAAAGAATTGAAATAATATTTTTCAACTTTATATTATTGTGTAATTAAATTTTACATTTGATTTCTACAAAAAATTTTAGGCGAAAATTGTTTATATCATTTAAAAATATTTCACTTTGTAACAAGGCTCGAAGCAGTGAAAGTATTTAAAAATACAAACATTATGGACCGAAAATAAAAAATTATGGACCAATTACTGACAAAAATATAAGCAGTCCGAGTCAAATAAGAGAAAATTTACTTAAAAGTATAAATTAAATTTTTTCATAACTATAAAACTTGAATAAATCGATCACTTCGAGTCTTCGACTCGGATCAATTTCTTCACGTTTTATAATAATTAAAAATGGCAAATTGATAAAATTATTATTTTATATTATAAGAATATTGTTACTATAATATCTTCAAAATTATTTTCATCATTTCAATTCAATTATTATTTTTAAGAATTTTCCACTAAAATTTTTCTTTAAATCAATTAATTTTCGAAAAAGTTCTTCAACAATTTTCAAAATCCATTTATTTACAATATTTAATTTTACAAATTTCAATTATTTGTTAATTCTTCAATTAAATATATACTAGAAAACAAAAACTTCAAATAATATAAAAAGAATTAAATTACACTTTTTCAAAAAAATTAATTTCAAAATTCAATTATTTCTAAAAATCCACGCTATATTGCTTTTAATATTCAATTATAATCTAAAATTTTAACTGAAATTTATTGTTAAATAAATTTTTATTAGAAAATTCTACTAGAATTCAATTATTTAAATAGAAATAAAATGAAAATAAATAATTTATTCAGCAATTAAATTTATCTTAAAATTGAATTCTCATAGTTAATTTTATCAACAATTTATAAATAGGAATTGAATTCTTTCAACAAATTTTAATAAAACTTTTCAGTATAATTACATTTCTCGAGGAATTCGATTAAAATTTTATTAAAAATAATTGAAATTCTGCCAAGAATTTTATTATTTATGAAAATAATTAAATTCCTAGAAAGAATTTTATTATTTATGAAAATCATTGAATTCCTAGAAAGAATTTTATTTTTTATGAAAATAATTGAATCCTTGTAAAAGGTTTGATTATTTATAAAAAATAATGTAATTATTACCAAGAAATTTTTTAAAAATTTGTAAATGATTGAATTCCTGTAAAATTTTGTATTATTTCTTAAAAAAAATTAAATGTTTGCGTAGAATTTTATCAAAATTTGTTCTAAATAATAGAATTTTTTAGAAAATTTGATTACAATAGTAGTTATTGAAAATCATTAAATTGAGGAAAATTTTTGAAAATAATTGAAATTTTGCTAAAAATTTTTTTAATTTCTCAACATAATTGAATTTAATAATTGAAAAGAAAATTCAATTTTTTTAGTGTCTTTAACTCAAATTCTTCAATAAATACATTGTTTTTAATAATAAATTAAATATATATTAAAAAATTTAACTAATTTCAGAAGAATTTGAATTACTAAAATTTTTTTAGTAACCTTTTCCGAAGGTTTTTTATTACTCTTGAAAACAATTGAATTCTTGCAATAATTTGTAACTTCTCCGAAATTAAATTTGTTTAGTGTTTATTAAAATATTACTGTAAATACATTATTTTTAATAATTTTTTAAACAGTTTTCTAAAAATTTTCAAATTTATTTGTTTTTAACTGAAATTTATTTTTAAATCAATTTTTAGTAAAAAATTATTAAAAATTAGAAATATGTACATTTAAACGACTTACGTCGAATTAGAATAAGTCCTACATTCCGAATCGTTAGTCTTTGGATTTCTAAGACGATTCTCCTTCAAATGACACCAATTAACGTTAATCGGTGATTAAGATCGAAAGATTTCGGGAAAATCCACTGGGATAATTCTTCCCGTAATGTTGTAGAAGCGAATTGCAAAATTTGAAGGGGAGGATGAAGATGATGATGATTATCATCATCTTATTCTTTGAGCATAAATTCTACGAAAAAAAATACTAACAAAATTTTCAACAAGAATTTAAACGAAATTTCCCAAAAGCACTAGTCTATGAATATTTCCACGTGGGAGTATTTTTTTAATGATGATCTGATTTTTCGAAAATCGTCCAATTTATTGATAATGATGCTCTATTTGCTCTCTTTCGAAGAGAGTCTAATTTTTTTTTAATGATTCTCGCGTATGGTAAAATTAATTCTTAAATGATGATGCTTTTTTTATTTGAATTTATTTTTTAATTAATTCTGCGAATACTAAAGATAATTTTTCGAAGATGATGCAACTATATGATAATTTAACTTTATGCTGATGATTTATTTTCTGATGACACTCTTTTTAGATCACATTTTTTTGACAATCTAATTTTGACAATTTAATTTAGACAATTTAATTTTTAAATGTTCTTTTTTCATGACGATCTAAATTTTCAATAATGAGTTCGTCATTTATTTGATGACAATATAAAATACCGAAAATAATTTCTTTACTCAACAAAAATCTAAATTTTCCCCTAGTAATTACATTTTTCTCAATATAAATTTCTCAATTTTTTCTCACATATTTTTTTCCCCCATGAAATCATTAATTTCAACAAATTTTTTTTTCTCATTCCAGACTTGCTACGAAATGGAAAGGTACCTGAAGGACGAGCCAAAGTTACAATCGTACAAAAAGTTACCCACCGAACTCGACACCGCACCCTGGAATATGTTCAGGCCTCCAATCTCGTGGACAGCATCCACAGGCACCACGAATGGACAGTTCGAGTCTGCCATCAAAATGGAAGTGAGTAAATTTTCATTCCCCGGAATTTTACATTCTTTTCTTCAAAAAAAAAATAAAATAAAAAAAAAAATTACTCAAAATGGAAGAAATCTTATATTGAACTCTTCTCTCTTTTTTTTATCGTCAATTCTAAAACAAGTTTTACAATTTTTAAGACACCAATAAAAGACCAATCTTTAAAACAAATAAAACAAAAAAATACGCTCACTAAAAGGAAAGAAAGGAGAAAAAAAAGCAGCATCACAACAAAGTGATCCCCCTCGATAAAAAAAAGGAAAACAAGAAAAAAATTACTCCTAGGACTCAATAAAAAAAAATATGTGAAACTATCCGGATATAAGAAAAATACGTCCACTAAAGAAAAGAAAATAAAAAAAAGTAGTTCCGACAGTAAAAATTGGAACATTTTTAGTGTACCTATAGTTGAAAATAAATTGGAAATAAGGGCAATTTTAGTTGTGTTTGAAAAAGTAAGGGTCAGGGGGGAAGTGAACATAAAATAAAAAAATGACAAGCTGTAAAAAAATAAAAAATTTGACGGTTATCAAATAAATAGAAGATTGTAAAAAGAGAATTTTTTTTTAAATTTTAGGTCACGACAACTGACGACAGGGATCAACTTTGCCTGGAGGATATTAAATTTAGTTCAGGTGACCACAATCACAACGGCCGAGACAGGGACCTCCTTGATCGGCACCTGGATTCCTTGTCAATGTCGTCAGCGAGTTCGGCGTGTTCAGCCCTCTCATGGGACAGTTCTCCTTCCCTCTCGTGTACGGCTCTTATCCTTAAAAAAGAGCCGAGCGAGGATCTCGAGGAGGACGAGGAACATGAGGTTCGTTTATTTTCGAATTCAAATTTCACTATTTTACAAAAATTACACAAAAATTTAATTTTTTATTATTCAAGATTGTCTTTATTTATTTTTTTGTTGTTTAGCATTACATTGTTTATTTTTAATTTATTGAATTTTTATTTTTTTTTGTTTGCTTCTATAAATAAAAAAAAATGAACAAATTTTTATCTTTGTTTTCTTTTTTCATTTTCGAAAGTTCATCTATGTCCAGGAAATCGAGGAGGACGACGATAGTCTGTGCGAGGGTGAAGGTCAAATCCTGACACCACCGTCGAGTCCTGAATCGGGTCAAGGTCATTCCAATTCCAGTCACTCGTCGAGCGGGAGTTCGATGCTTGACGTACATAATCTGAACCTCCATGGAACGGGCGGCAGGAGTGCTATCGTTAGGGTTACTGCAAGCAATGCTCAAAGTGTTGCCAGGTGAGTAAAAAAAAACATTCGCTAATTGATTGATATTCATAATTATAGTCAATAAAAAAAAAGTAAAATACAAAAATTAAAAAAAAATAAGATGAAAAAAAAGTTTTTAATTTTTTCTGTTTTTTTTATTTTTTTTTTTAGAGAATAAGAATTAGAAGACAAAAATAAAAAAAATTGTAAAATAATTACTGATGATCTATCAACTGGAAATTAAAAAAAAATTATAAAAAATGAATGAATAATAAAAAATAAAATACAGAAAATGGTATTTAGTCCCATTTACTTAAATGAATAAATGAATAAATAAATAATAAATAAATAATAAATAAATAATAAATAAATAATAAATAAATAATAAATAAATAATAAATAAAATAATAATATATAAATAAAATAAGTATATTAATACAGAAAATAAGAATAAATTATTTAACAAAAAATGCACTAATTAATTGTTATTCATCAATACAAATTTGAAATTACAAAATATAAACAATAAATTAATAATAAAAATAAAATCCTAAATTAGTAAATAAAAAATAAATCGCTGGCTAAATATTCGTCTACTAATTAGGATTTAGAACATAAATAAATTAGTGAATAAAAAATTATTTAAAAAATGCCCCAATTAATTAAAAAAAAAAAAATACATTGAATTTAGAATTAAAAAATTTTATTTCATAAGTAAATGAATAATTGAATGAATAATAATTAAGCAATTGAAAATAAAATTTAACATAATTAAATACAATAAACTAGTAAGTAATATAAGAAATAAATTAATAATGAAAAAACTGTTTTAAGTTATTAATATTATTCATCAACTAATTTGAAATTTGAAAATAAAAATTATAAGTAGTCAATTAATAATAAAAATCAAATAATTTAATAAATAAAGCATAAAGTAAATAAATAACAACGCTATTTAATAATTAACTAGTACTATTTATTGAATATTTAATTTATTGAATATTTTGAATAATTTATTGAAATAATTGAAAAATGCGTTCATTTATTAATAAATATTCGTCCACTATTTCGAAATTGGAAAATAATAAATTAAAGAAATCGATGAATTAAAATATAAAAATGAAGAAAAAAATAATATAATTATTTTTATTTTATAATTAAATTCAAAATTGTAATGAAATAGAAATCATCAGAATTTTTTTCACTTTTTTTCATTAAAAGACTAAAAGTTTGTTAAATATTATTAATTTGTCAAATTGAAATTAGATTTTTGTTCTTTACTTCTAAAAAAAATTAGAAAATTGTTAAACAACTGTGATTAAGAAATAGAAAATTGATTTATTTTACATTATTTTTCTTTATGAATCACAATTTTTTTAAACAAAATTATTATTTTCTATTTGGAAAAAGAAGAAAAATATTTGCACAATTCCTATTTTTAATCTTATTTTTGGAACAGCATTTTCCACAGGAATTAAGACATTCAAAAGTTTTTCAAATTCAAACCTTTTTTAAATTAAACAACTTATAAAAGTATTTTTATAAAACATGAAGATATCGATTGCTCCAAGTCAAAGACTCGGAGTGATCGATTTCTTCATGTTTTTTAATAATTAAAGATGATCGAGTGATAAAATAATTATTTTAAATTATAATATATTTACTGTAACTACTTAAAAATTATTTTCATCATTTTAATTTAATTATTATTTTCTAGAAATTTAAATTAATTTTTTATGAAAATAATAATTGAATTTCTTAAAGAAATTTTTATGATTTATGAAAATAATTGAATTTCTGTGAAATTTTTATTATTTATAAAAATAATTAACGGCATGCATACAATTTTATTAGAATTTTTTTTTAAATAATTGAATTCTTTTTGGGAAATTTTATTAAAATAGTAAATATTGAAAACCATTGAAATTAGAAAAATGCATTTTATTTTTAAAAATAATTGAAATTAGGACAAGAATTTTTTTGACATTTATGAAAATAATTGAACTTTGAAGAAGAATTTTGTTATTTTATAAAGATAATTTTGATTTTTACGAGAATTTTTTTTAAATTTTAAACATAATTGAATTTTATAAGAAGAATTTTTTTTTTTTTTGTAAATAATTGAATTTCTGCAATTATTTGTAATTTCTCCAAAATTGAATTTTATTAGTGTTTTTAACAAAACTTTTAATTACAAATTTTTTAAATTCTATTATTTTTAAAATTGCTAATTTTATTTAAAAAAGGTTGTAAGAATTGTTGCTTGTTAATAATTAAAATAACAATCTTAAATTAGATTAAAAGTCGAAAAAGAAAATCCAATCCTATTTAAATAATTCTATTTAAATAGGGGGTTAAAAGAACCTAAATAAATAAAAACCTAAATGAATACAGTAAATAAAAAAAAATTAAATAAATTAAATTGAATAACATGAATTTAAAATAAATAAATATTGAATTTTTTTGACGCAGTTAGGTAAAAAATTGTGAAATGAAATTTGTTTTTTCCTGGCAGATTAATCTCGGTGGCAACAAACGGTTTTCCAACTGTCGCGAGCACGCAACATGCACATGTTGGAACGGCACCAGTTCCATCCGCGGTTGCGAACAGGCATCATGCAAGAAGTCACGAACACAGTCCACCGGACACTAAACGCAGGATACACAAGTGTCAGTTTCCTGGATGTAAAAAAGTCTATACCAAAAGTTCGCATCTCAAAGCGCACCAGAGGACGCACACAGGTAAGTGACTTGATTCAAAAAATGTCCCTCGGGGCTATTTCATATATTCTTTCCACTGCCGCCCCCCCTCCCTCCTTTTTTCTTTTTTTCACATTTTACTTTTTTTTATACATTCCTCTATATGTATACATACACAGCCATTATCTAAAAAATCCTCGAAAGCATTTTATACGATAGCTTTTAATGACCCTTTTTAAAAATCGATATTTGATTCTCCAATTACAAAAATAAAAATGACCCATATTTGCGGATTTTCGTTTGTAATCAAAAAAATTCTTATCATCTCTGTATCTACCAAACCAATGATTTTATTTTATTCTTTGATTTTTATTGAAAATTGTTCAAGTTTGCAAAAAGGGAAATAAGAAAGGAACGAAGGAAAGAAAGAATGATATAGAAAAAGAGAAGAAATACATAAAAATTACATATGTATGTTTAGGAAAATGGGGGGGGGGGTAAAAATTTATATAACTCTCGATAAGACGATTGACTCCTATGTTTTTTTTTTTTTCTCTAAAGTAGATTGAAGAGAATTTTCGATCTTGGATGTAATGATAATAATCCTCGTAAAAGCGTAAGAAAAACAAACATTTAAACGACACTTTATGAATGGGAGAAAAGGGCAAAAGTTTCTCACACCAAAATAAGGTTACTCGTAGAAAAGTCAATTTCGTTAATATTCTCGTAAAAGAGAAACTCTCGAGGAAAATATTTTCGTAAATTTTCAATCCATTCGACTATTAATATAAACTTTGAAATTTGACAAAATTAAATTACAATTATTTTTTATTGCCTGGCAGAAATTGTGAGGATTATTATTAGGGAGGGAATAATAAAAATAAGTAAATAATTAATTTATAATTTAATTTAAATAATTAATTTTTTTTTCGTATCCTCGTAATATTTTCTTTATTAATGCATTTTTTTTGCATAAATTTGTTTTCAAAAAATTTTAAATTCAAATCAGAAACATTCTCGCTCGGTTTTAAAAACACAAAATGTCCAAAGAGAAGATTATCATTATCCCGAATAATGCTGGAACCTAATGTAGAATTTATGTTATGTACACAAAAAGTTGTTACATAAAGCTTGAACATTGGTGTTTTTAATTGGATTTTGTTATCAGACGCGCGTGTGTTTATGTGTGTCGCGCTATATATAGATAAACAGACACAAACAAACACACACACACACACACACACATGTTTATATATGTATACGCACAGTATTTATTTCATAATGTGAAAATATAAACGATGACGTAAGCTGAGAGATTATCCGTTGAATCGCGGACAAGGAAAATCTTGTATTCGTGCGCGACCCTTTTCAAGTGTAAATAGCGTTGCATAATTAATCAAAAAGTTGAATCGAAAAGGGAAACTCGGTCGGGTTTCCCGTTGGTTATAAGTAAAGGTTTCGCGAGGAGCACGTACATGTAAGAGGATTTGCCAGTGGTTGTCGTTAGGCAAAGGAAGACAAACGCGGTAATAATGGCCATCCCTGTTAGCTGGGAGTTAGTAAAATCCTTCGGTCCTAGTGAGAAGAAGGGTGAAACTTCTCAATATACATATATATTTACTGTATATGCTGTACTGAAAATTAGGAGAGGAAATTTCACGTATTATAAAGCGTAATTTTCAAATTGATGATTAATGTTTATCGTATTTAAATCGTAATTATCTGCTTGACCGAAACAGAGATTTTGTTTTTTTATTTGACTATTTTGTTACTATTGGGTTATACTATTATACTATTACTATTATTAATACTATTATTATTATTATTACATTTATTTTTTCACTTTGTTTATTGTTTTTAATTTTATTCCTTATTTATTTATTTAGTGTCAATTATTATTTACTGAATAAGTGTCACTGAGGGTCCTACCTTGACTAAGGTCCAACCCTGACTACGTTCCCTTATTAATTAGGTAAATAATAATTTACTTATAATTAATATTAAATACATACCTAAATAATAATTCACTTATAAATAATATTAGTTCGATAAATAGAAATTTTATTCATAATAATAATTTAGGTGAATTATTAAGTTACTTACTTAATAATTAACCTAAACTAATATTTTAGGGCTGCTACGCAACCTGAAAACTTGGAAATGTAAGGGAATTTCATAAACCTTGAAAAAACCTAGAAATTCTGGAAATTTTGATCGAAATCCTGGAAAATTGTTGTATTCTAAAGTTATTGTGTTTATTCTTGAAATTTAATTGAAGCAATTACAAATGATTACAGAAATTCAATTATTTTCAAATGTATTAAAATTCTTCTTAGAAATTCAATTATTTTCGAAAATTTTAATAAAATTCTTGGCAAAATTTTAATTATTTTCAAAAACTATCCTCAATTTTAATGATTTTTAATATCTACAACATTAATAAAAATTTCTAAAAGAATTCAATTAGTTAAAACATTTTTTAGTAAAATTCTACGCAAACATTTTTATTATTTTCATAAATAATAAAAATTTCCCAGGAATTCAATTATTTAAAAATTATTTTTATAAATAATAAAACTCATTGCAGACTTTCAATTATTTTCAAATACAATTTTAATGGAATTCCTCGAAAAATGTAATTCTTAAATGATCCTAAAGTTCTGAACGTTCAAATGAACGAAATTGATTTATTTCTTCTTTAAATTCAATTTTGATTACAATCATTTTGAGTCACTATTAAAAAAATTAATTTTTAAAGTTTTTAAACGTAGAATCTAAGTTTTAAATTTTCATTCGAATCAGTAATTTATGAAAATATTTTTAATATAAAATATTTCGTTCATTTGAACGTTCAAAACTTGTGGATCATATTCTTAAAAATTTTATTAAAATTTATCAAAGAAATTCAATACGTTTAAAAACCTTTGTCTATATTTTAAAAATGTTTAATGAAATTCTTTGAAACAATTTAATTTCTTTGAATATAATTTCAATTCGTAGAAATTTAAATAATTTCAAAAAATTGTCAAAATTCAATTATTTTAATTTTATAAATGTTAAATTATTTTAAAATTTTCCAAAAGAATTCAATTATTTAAAAATAAATTCTAATAAAATTCGTCTCTAGAATTCCATTATTTTCCAAAGTTATAAAATTCTTCACAAAAATTCAATTATGTTGAAAAATTTATAAAAATTCTAGTCAAAATTTTAATTATCTATATAAATAATAAAATTTTGCTCCGAAATTCAATTATTTTCAAAAATTTTAATAAAATTATTGTCAGAATTTCAATTATTTTTAATACAATTTTCATCAAATTTCTCGAAAAATAAAATTATTCTTCAAAAATTTATTAAAAGTTGTCAAGAGAATTTAATTATTTAAAAATTTGATGATAAAATTCTTTATGAAAATTCTATTTTAAGAAACATTCAATTATTTAATAAAATATTTATTTTTGTATTTAAATAATTGAATTCTCGTAGAATTTCCTAATAAAAAATTGATTTAAAAATGAATTTCAGTGAAAATCTTAGATAATAATTGAATATTAACCCTTTGAGGACCAAATTTTTTCTTAAAACATCGCTATTTTTTATTTTTAAGCAATTTTTTCAGGGAAAATTACTGAAGCTTTTTATTTGAAGACCAATATCTGTCATACGAAATTTTTCAGACTATGTGAAAATTATTGTTTCAATATTCAGTTTTAAAAATTAAGAAACTTATGCACGAGTTAATAAAAAAATGTTCATGTTGCCTGAAAGCAACACTGGTCCTCAAAGGGTTAAAAGCAATATGAATTTTTAGAAATAATTGAATTTTGAAAAGGTTACAAATTAAAATCTTTAAAAATTTAAATATTTCATACTTTTAATGAAAAAATGACTTTTAAAATGACTTTTAATGTCTATGAAAAAGTTTAATTGAATTTTTAAAAAAATTATTTGAATTTTTTATTTTCTAATACATATTTAATTGAAGAATATCCGAATAGTCGAAATTTCGTAAAATTAAATTGTAAACAAATGGGTTTGAAAATTCTCAAAAAACTTTTTCAAAAATTATTAAAAATAATTAATTTAAAGAAGAATTTTAGTTAAAATCAGAATATTCTTGAGGGTCAAGTAAAAAGTGAAAATTTTGTCTGGAAATCAGGGAAACGTTTCAAATTAAAATCTTTGAAAATTTGAACTGTTCATACTTTTAATTAAGAATTCTGTACAACTAATTTTTTTTAAAGTTTAATTGAATTTTTTTTAAAAATATTTCAAGTTTTTCTTTTCTAATATATTTAATTGAAGAATGTCAGAATAATCGAAATTTTGTGAAATTCAATTTTATACACAAAAGGATTAAAAAATTTTCGAAGCACTTTTTCAAAAATTATTAAAAAACAATTGACTTAAAGAAGAATTTTAGTTGAAAATTCTTAAAATGAATAATAATCGAAATTATGGAAATAATTTTTGAAGAAGTTACAATAACAAACTAGCAAGTTTTAATTATTATAAATCAGGGAAAAAGTCAAAGTTTTGTCTGGAAATCAGGAAGTTATTTAATTTGGTAAAATATACTCCCTAAATTTTAATTAGTAAAAATATTTACTAATTTGAATTAGTAACTGACTTTTTGCTTTTGAATTAGTAAATTTTACTAATAAATTAGTAAAAAATTACTAAAATTTCGTAGTAAAATTTACTAATTCAAAAGCAAAAAGTCAGTGAATAATTTAAATTAGTAAACATTTTTACTAATTTAAATTTAGAGAGTAAATGTAGTTTCAAAAACATGGGAAAATTCAGTTTTTAACCTGGAAAACCTGTAAAAGTAAGGAAATTTAAAAAGAGCAAAAGCGTAGCAACCTTGTGTTAGGTAAATAATAATTTACACAGAAATAATAAAAAAAGATAAATAATATAAATATTATAAAATAAATAATAACGATAATTAATATACAAATTAATTAGATGCATTCACATGATAATAAGTTAAACGTTTGTAATTATTGGATCCAAGCAAATATTGTGTATGCCGC